CCCAGGCGTCGCATACCGTTGCAATGAAAAGCCCGGACTGCCGAATGGACGCGTGCTTTGCGGCGTACGAAACGGAGCCTATTTCCTCATGCTTTGTGTGTCTGTTGTTCTGGCTTCTGTTTCGCTATTCTCATGCTCCAATGTATCGCAAACTCTCGGAGAATAGGCAGAACGATAGACGTTGGCTGTGTTCATGTTGCCCACAACCTTGCTTATTCTTAGTTGCTGCTGGTGACGGGGCATGTACTTGAAACTTTCCCCTCAATCCAAATGTTAATGCCACTGGGCTCGGATGACCCCCGGACAGCGGCTCTCTTGGCTTATTGGACCCAAGCAAATGGCTCATTGGCGTCTGCAAGCCTACAGATAGGTACCTGAATCACCATTAGCCGTCTGCCATGTATGATGTTGGAGAGAGTCAGGGGAGGGGAAGATCAAGAAACAACCAAACCGTGTCAACCAAGGTTGTGATTTGCTTGATTGGAAGGGAAAGTGCTGTAAAGCCGAGCATGCCAGGCCGAAGATCAGACAGACATTTCTTCTCCCTCTGGAACATCATGTACTCCAGATCTCACCACAGCAAGCTGACTGTCTCTCTGTTGACTGAAGTCTATTAGACGGTCTGGTTGGCAGGGCAGGGCAGGCAAGCTGGTGGTAAGGCGCGCCGCGGGGTTGTCTCTTCCCAGCTGAGGTCAAATTGAACACGGTCATTTATTCCATGTCTGAGGATAAATGAATGGGTGAATTGGAAATCGAAAAGCAGCTATGTGACTCGTGAGTCGATTTGGAAGTTGGAACTGCCACTTTGCATCTGACGCCTTCTCTTCTAAGCCTGACGTACTCTGTACATTTGAGCGGGAAGGCATAGAGGTCAGCTCGGGTCCTGCCACGTCTGACGTTGATGGTTCCTTCCGTCTCATCAACGCAGATACGTACAATTGGCTTTCGTCCTTTTCTCATCCTTCCCAGGTTCCTAGCACTGAAGTTCTGCCTAGAAAGGAACATGTTCGCCATCCAACACTTAAGGTACTTTCCCACCTTCATCCAATGTCGGCACCTGCACTCCTGGTGGCGTGATGGGAATTAAACAAACATCGCGCCTGGCTGAAGGACAGCTCGTTCAGCGTCTCTCGTCATCCGGTTTCTCACATGATTTTCGAGGCTTTCTTCTTGATGTATCATGCTGCATACACAACACCCTTTACGTACTTTGACACCAACCATTGGACGACGTGGTGCCGATCTTGCTCTTCCGTCTGATCCTGCTGACCTGGATCTCGTCTCTCAGCATTGTGATTACGCCCTCTCGATCATCGCATCTGTTTGCAGCTCAGTTCCTGCAGCAACGTGCACTTTTCACCCTCCCTCCCTTTGGCCACGGATCATCCAGCTTTTTTTTTTTCTTTCTCGTGCGCCATTCGCTAGCATCCGGCGCAACTTTACGTTGGTGCATCTATCTAACCAACTACTCTTGACTGACAGCAACAATAGTACGAGTAAAAATCACAACCACAACAGCAGCGTGGACCAAACAGGCCGGGCCCGGTCAATTTGCCGGACGGGTTTCACTCATCACCGACCCCCTTGCTCAAGCCATCGAACACGAAAGCCGTCGAGGCTAGCAGGTGGCCCGACAAAGAGGGAAACTGTATACGCGGCGTCCCATCAGACCGTGCAACAGTGCAACTCCCACAAGTCAACCTACTTACTCGATCCGGACACAAGGTTTTGGCCTTCCCAGCAGGACGGCCCAGGAAGGGAACCCGAACTGTAGCACTCTACGGACATACGTACAAAGTGCACAAAGAAGGCTTCGTCCTACCCACAAAACAAAACCCAACAACCAACAACCACCCTGAGAAACAATCACAAGAAGCTTTGGGTAAAAATAGCTTCGCGGCGCCTCCCTTCCCCAGTTGCGCCCCGTCCCACGCATCATCTCATCCACAGTCCACACCCATTCCATTCCAGTGGTCCACTCCAGCCCGAGGCCGCGGCACATCAACCCGCTTTCGGTTCATCCTCCCACCTGCCCGCCGCGCTTGCCCGCCTCGTCCCTCATAGCCGGACCTAGCACAGCCACCTTTGCACACTTCTTGGGATTCGAGAAAGGCACAAAGAGAAGCAAAGCGAAGAGGACGACCGGCCCGTTCAGATCTCGCCATTTGGCAACGTGCTCTCACCAGCTGACGGCTAGCTAGGCCGTTCCGAGAGACCGAGACAGAACAACGCACACCTCACCGTCTACGAGCCTAGTCTGCCAGTCCACGCCTTTTTTTTTTTTTTTTTCCAATGTCGATCTAGAAATACGTCTTTGCGACTTGTTCTAGCGCCGATCCCGGCATTCTTGGGATTCCGAGCCACCCCTTTCGTCCTACAGTTCGGATATTTTGGGTCCATTTTCGCTCCCTAATGCTCCCCGCGACGGCGGTCAACTCCTCTGCTGCCCGTCATCGCGTCCTACCTACGTTTTTAGAACGAATCTTGCAGGCAGCTGACGTCTGGTGCTCATACTAGGCAAGTCAACGAGTCGTGCCTCAAAAAAGTACCACAACACGGTGAGGCGTGTTGGCCGCATTTGATGAGGCTCCGGGCATGAGCCCCCAAATCCGACTTGACATCCGATCACTTCATCTCCAAATCTTTCAATGCGGCGCCGCATTTCTGGATCCTCACCTTACTCTGCAAAAGTGGATGGGAACAAGGGGTGACCCTTTTCATTTTTCGCACTCAAAAGGGGTGGCTCCTGTTTTTTCAGGGACCGCGTTGTGGTGCTAGCCGTAGAACCCGGAACCATTCCAATCTTGGATCAACATTGCAGTGCCATCCCCACACTCCGGCGCGACTCGGCCAACGTCGTCCCCGCCGTCGGAGCTCGGGTCCTGCGAGAGAGAGGCAGAATGCTACTCTAGTCACCGGCCGCGCTGACGACTCCGGTTGCGTCGTCTTCGCAGGGCTGAGCCGATCCGCACGGTCTGGCTTTCGCCATGTTTACAATGGACCTCGACAGATTTTTCTTTCTGTCGTCTCGCTGAGTCACCCTTGGGGAGTGGCCCAAGTACGTTGCATTGGCATGTCGTTAAGGGAAACTTGCGCAATCGTCTATGTACTGCAGTCAAGGGGTCCGCCCGCTCGAGGCCGTGCCTTCTCCGGTGGGGATGGTACCCCTCCGTTGAAGCTTTCCGGCACCGAGACTTGTCTTATACAGTCTGGAGACATACCCAACTCGGCTGATGGCGATTGATAGCTAGCCGCGTCAGTCAACCCCCGTACATAGCAAACTGCAGCCCGCTTGCGGCTCAGGCCACACGGGAAGCCATCGTTAGAGTTCCTATTCAGGTGGGTATCGAGCTTGGCGAGGTTGACCATGTTTACATTCCGCGGCTTAGCACTATATACGGCCCAAGGGGTTGCGAAACCTAGAGAGGCTTAAGCATGACGTGACAAGCCTTGACCCCAGCGAAGTCCGCTTCATGACTGTCACGACTATCCGTGGATGAATTATTGAAGTGCTGCCAGAGTCTCATAGGTTCACCTCTCAGGGTGGGCGTGGGCTACTTGCCTGCACTGCACCCTCTGCCAATTCCATGGTTGCGAGACTGAATGGCCATACCCAGCGTGTAAGGCACATGCTTTCCTCTTTTGCAATCTGACTTATACCGATGTTACCCTGAAGCTCAACCAAGGCTTCCTTGAAACGCGTTTCTCTCTACAGACAGTCCGTGAGTACACAGCTAATGACTATACAGTGGGGTCGGTTTTGAATTCAGGAGCATGATGTACACGGTCTTTCTATAACACAGTCCAGAAGTAGTCTGTTGGTTGCGAGGGGATATGGATGGGAGAGGATCCTTGCCTTCAGTCATGGAGGCATGAGTGAGTTATTGTCCTCAAAATTCAGTATACGTCAACAAACGCGAATTGCAACAACAGCTGCTGTCTCTCTGTAGGCTGTCGACAAGCCAAGAGTGTCCTTTTGATGAGATGAAGTATGTCTGGGGTAAGACGATGCCTCTGGGTTTTCAAGATGCATCTTAATAACATTACAATGAGTTTGTCATCGCCTTGGCCAGGGGGTGATGCTGACGTGGCGATGCGTACGGCAGAAGTAGTAAGAGCGGATTATCAGGGACAGGTACTGGATATTAGCCATATATACATTCACATGTGTTACCCAGGAAGCGTACATTGTATGTCACCTTCAGGGAGCTTTGAACGAGTTGATGTTACTGTCCGGTCTAGCACAGACGTCGTACTCCAGTCCGCGCAATGGAAGCTACGTATACTGTAATTGTGGTCTTGACAAGTCTCCTACAAGTTCTTGTAGTGTGACGTCTTTTTATTTGAGGAAGTCTAAGTTTATAGGAAAGAACCCGAAGTAGGTAAAGCAATTAGATGGCTCGATGTCAAACACGCACCAGAGCTTAAGGAACACCGCCACGAGAGAACTAAGCCTCCGTCATCATACGAAGGGATATAAATATGGTATGGTTGTGTGAAAAAAGTTGATTGAGCAGGCAATAATGTCTTCGGCTGTCATCCGAGGCCAAATAGATCAGGAGTCCCGCGAGAAAGCAGCAAAGTACCCTGAAACCACCAGGTCGTTTTGATCCGAGGGAAGAAGCCATATTCAACCGAACTCAGACAAACACACTCTCTGAACGCACTAGAGCGCTTATGCTGAACATGATATACAGAGGAAAGCGAAGCTAAGTGGCTAGGGGCAAAATGTAGGTTGTATTGACGCTCGTTTGTAAGGGCTATGTGAAGACACGATGAGAACTCCCTATCTCTGCAAAGATCATCGAACAACTAATGGATGGCACGGTTAGAGTGAACCAAACTCGACTCAGTGATGGATGCGCGGTTTTATATTCCTCCAAAGTCGCCAGATGACGAATTCTAGAGCTGATCAAGTGACAGAACGAGGACTATGATTACACACCCAAGGAAGGATAATTGAGAGACAACATATTTGAGCATGCAGCTCAATCTTCAATTCATGTCTCGATTCCTTTCCCTCTCGCCTTCCAACTCTCCTCAGAGTACGCCTGGAAACACTTCTCGCATTCGCCACAGTTACCGCACCCCTTAAGCTGCCACTCGCCCGCAAACACATTGAACTCTCGCGCGCCGGAACCATGGATCGAGGAGTCCAAGGGCAAAGACTTCAGCGCGGCCGCGTAATCCGGGCCAGCAGGGAACCCGATATTCTCGTCGCTGTGAATCCTCTTCCTGGGCCCGCTAGCCGTACAATCCACGTCGACCCCGTGCTTCTCGCCCACGGCTATGAGGCGCTGGAAGTAAAGATTGTTGGGCGGCTCGTGGTTGGAGCAACGCGCCCGGCCGCACCGATTTCGTCGGACCACGTCATCCTCAATGAATAGTGCCTTGAAGTTTGGGAACCTGTCCGACTTGAGAAGGCCGATGAGGAGATCCTTTGTCTTTTCTGTGTCACTTTGCTCCGCCGATTTACCTAAGAAGAGAACCTCCATCGACGCGGGGAGGCGGGAGATAATCCACTCTAGCGCTGCTTCGGTGGGCGTTTGCCATAGGTCTGGTATCGTGTACATATCGTAGCTGTCCGCCTGCTTGAGAAGGTCGGAGTTGTCGAGCCAGACATGCCGGAGGTGTGGAATGTGTTGAGTTCGAGCAAATGGAGGTGATACAGGTCACAGCCGGATTTGCGAGCAGTTTCCATCCCCCACGCTCCGTAGAGCATGATACTCTCAAGAGATCCAGCCTGGGCGTTGCGTGCATTGAGCAGGAATCTGTCGATCTCGTGCCAGCAGTCCTGATCACCTCCAACGTTGCCGCGGAGGCGGAGGGTTTTGAGGGAGCGAGGGGCGTTGAGGAGGGCTGAGCAGAACCCTGGACTCAAAAACTCTCCGCCGTCGATAAACAGGTGCTGTACGCTTGAGCAGCCGCGTGTCAGGCCGCGGGCTAAGTCATTGATACGATCGCCATCCCGATCGTAGACGCCGTGGAAGTAGACGGTATCGATGCTGGGGAGCCTAAGTACACTTGCTAGGAGATCAGGGCGATGATTGACCTTACGGTCGTAGTCTAGCCAAGTTCCGGAGCGCACTCCGATGGAGACCTCACGAAGAGCGCGTAGCCCTGGTGCCCAGGATCCGGTAAGGTGGCTCATTTCGATGAGCGAAGTGAGCCATTTGAGGCTGTCATCTCTAAACCAGATGCGTTAGAACGTAGCTATGTGCAGATCCTAGGTTCAGGCTCACCTGGTGCCCTCGTCGCGCAGAATGTATTTCACACTACTCAGGTGAGGGCATATAGCCATAAGTAAGATCTTGAGGATTCCATCGTAACCCTCGTCGAGTTGTTGATCGGCCACACACGTATCGTCAAAATCCGGATGAAGTATATCCTTGAAAAGCCGCATGTACTCCGCCCGCTCCTTATCTTCCAGCGTCCACTCCAACGGCTGCGCATCTTCGTCAAAACGTTCTCGCGGCCAAAGCCAGTCTTCCCAAAACCTTCGGCTACCCCATATCTCGAGTGAGCGTATGTGTCATGTGATCCAAGGGTCCTTGTGCATGACAACATTTCGCAACAATGTGGGTATAGTCGCCGGCTGGAGGTCTGAGATGACGCCGTACTTATCATGGGTTTCTCTGTGACGGCGAAGAACTCCGGCTGAACACTTGGCGATCTTCTTTCAGGTACAGGCAAAGTTCAGGTGAGAAGCGACGTCTACATGCTCGATGATGTCTATGAGGAGCTCTGTTGGCAGGAGACTAAGGCGGTCTGTCTCCTCGACTGGCTTGTGTTCCACGGCCATGGCGACTAGAGAGTGAAGGCAAATTACATATGTGAAATAAGGAAGATAAAAGATGATGCTGTCGAAGTTAAGGATGTGAAGATGTCGTGGGAGACTTATATGTCTATGCGATGAGACTAAGGGCGAACTATTAGACAGGGCCCCACCTGCTGCCTATGTCTGCCCGTTGCTTGCTTGGCAGGCAGGTAGAGAGCAACGTTGCGCGGAGGTAGAGCCCATCTGTATCTTGGTAAATGCCTCTGAGCCTCCCGAAGACGGGAGTGAGGTGTACAGGGATGATGGGCATTTCAATCTAGCAAAGGGTCTTGTGTCAAGTCATCTTGAGACGGCGATTGTTAGACAACACCTAGTCGGCAGTGAGTTTTTGGAGTATCACAAGGCACTTCAAGGCCCCAATTGAGTATATAGAAGCCTCCAACAGAGTCGTGAGGGCCGGAGCAATCAAATCAGAGGTTTACCAGCTTGCCACTGATTGAGGTCCTGCGTTAAAGAGGGCATCAGCTCCCCAGGATATCGAGAGTTGATGTTCATACTAGGTATGTTTTCTCTGCCTCGGGATACATCCGCAGATGTGCCTAATAAGCCGGTGGGAGGAACTAGCCTGGGCAGTCTCGTTGAATTGCTCGTTTGAATATCTACGTAGTAAAGAAAGGACCCTTGATAATCACCATTTTTGGTGGTGACTTCCATCACGTGACACCGTCGAGTTCAAGTACACACAGACCAACAAAGGCGGGGCAGTGACTTGCAGTGGCCCAAGCTCAAGCAAGGGACAGACAGTTCGTCACTCGCTGGGAGCAGCAACGCGGATACCCGTGCTCCCGAAACACACAACCTCGACCGCGATACCACACATTGAGCGACAAGCTGCCGACGACAATCCGATTACACAATACCAAGACTCAAGAGCCATGTAGCAAATTGCCATTCTATTGAACCTGCACAAGTAAATTCGCTTTCTGCCCGACCGCCAACATGGAACGGGCCCCTTCTGGGGCCAAGTCCCTCTTCCCTCAAGGGCCCAGCTTCACCCTCGAGGACTTCTCGAACCAGGACTTCGTGGTCCGCGAATTCGTCGACACTCTTGCCGAGAATGCCGTGCCTGCGAACCGCCGATCAGGTCCATCGCAACCCGCCTTTGACCCCAAGCCACTCATTCGCACCTTTGAGAGTATGGCAGCTTCGTTCCCTTCGTCTCGTGCCTTCCTCACTAACCCCTCTCTGCAGATGCGCTGTCGCAGCTTGGATCGTTGTCCGAAGAACTCCAGGAGAAGGAATCGGAACTCCAGTCCAATGTACGAAGGGCCGAAGCCCAGCATGATCAAACACTCGATACCCTCGGTCGAAAGCTCGACCAGTCCATGGCCTCCTTCGAAGCACTCGATCTATCATTAAACCAATCCGCGACAAACGGCGACAGAAGTGCGAGACAAGAAGCAGGCGGTAATATTGCTGTGCAGATTGGAGAGAAGCTTGAAGAGCTGGACAGAAAACGGAGGCGAGCCCAGGATGCCAACTTCCTCATCCAATGCTGGATTGAGGTTAGCGAGACGGGCCAGCTCACGTCATTAGAGGAGATCCAGAGACAGGGAGGAGCCGAGAACAAGGTACGATGCGCAGTAATCTCCCGACAGCTCATGCGAATCAGTCAGCGGCTAGACCCGACCTCTTGGGGTCAGACGAATGGTACAAACGGGTTCCGAGGAAACGGCGTTACGAACGGCGTCACGGGAACAAATCGCGTGCACAACACGAGAGAACTACTCGAGAAGTTCTCCGAGTCTTTGGAGCAGGAGCTTCTCAAGCAGTTCAACAGCAGTTACCGACGGCAAAACTTCGACGACATGATGGAGTGCTCCAAGGTCCTGTACGACTTCAACGGTGGCTCCAGCGTCATCGCGACCTTTGTAAATCAGCACCAGTTCTTCATCGACAGAGACCAATTGATTTCGGATGAAGTTATGTTGGACGGCGACACATGGGAACAGATTGCAGATCCCGATTCTGAACCACCTGGCGTCGAAGCCAGCCTACAATCTCTCGTTGACGAGGTCAAACTCGTCATGCAGGAGGAATCCTTCATCATCAAGCGCGCCTTCCCTTTTTACGAGACTGTTTTGATCAAATTCATTCAGCGAGTGTTCCAGCAGTCTGTTCAACAAAGGCTCGAGATGGTGCTGGACAAGGCCAACGAAATCTCTTCCTTGGCGTTCCTCAGATCACTGCACTCATCGAGGACATACATCAGTTCTTTGATCGAAGACCTCAAATCACACGGCCTTACCGAACATCCGGAACCGGCTTCCCCCCAAATCTCCCAGACACTGGACCAGCAGATGGAGGAGCTTTTCGTTCCCTACCTTGTTGGTAATTCATACATTGACCGAGAGAGGAAGAGTCTCGAGGAAACGTACAACTCGTTGCTCTTCAAATTCACAACATACCACTCCAAGAGAAAGAAGGCACCGACTGGCTTCATGGCCTCACTTGCACAACAGAGTTCACAAATGCTATCGTCGGCCAAGGATGCATATCTCGAGCGCCTCGACTCCTCTGAGTTAACAGCCACTCAGAAGGCTATGATGCTTCGTGTTGCAGGAATACAAGACAACAATGACAACAAAAACGACGTTGAGGTGTCAGAAGAAGACGGCATTCTGAGCATAGCGAATGCCAAGAGAATGATGAAGTGGCTCGCGGAATCCGTCCGAAGAACCCTAGAACTTGGCTCTCCCGCCGATACACCAAAGGACGTCAACGTTCTCCTAAACCTTTTGCTCACAACAATGGGTCGCGTCTATGTGGAGACGGCTTTGGACGCCGCGCTCGACCAGGCGACTTCTCAGGAAAATATCAAGTCGGAACCAGACTTGAGCTACCTCCCTTCAATCCGTCCCGCGGTGACCATCACTAGTATCATGGAACGCTTCATTACTACTGTGCTGATCAAGCTGGCCGAATCCAACACGACAGTCCGCCGCAGCATGTCCACGCAGACAAAATCCGCCATTGACGGCATTGAGCGCAAGACGAACGCCGTGATGCGCAGCTCCATCGATGTCGTTACCAACTGGGTCACGCGCTCTCTTTCCAGTCAGAAGAAGTTTGACTTCCGTCCTCGCGACGCAGATCTGGATTCACTTCAGACGCCCACCTGTTTACAAATGAGCCAGTTTCTCTCCCGCGTCTCCAAGCACGCCGCCCAGGCTGTGGACGGCCAGAACTTGGAGGTCTGGAGCTCCGAGGTCGCACTCGCCGTCCTGGCTCTGCTCTTTGACCACTTCAAAAAGTTCCAGGTCAATGCTACGGGTGGACTCATGGTCGCGCAGGATCTGTCCAAGTACTCTTCCACTCTCAAGGAGTGGTCGCTCGCACCGGACGTAGAAACCTCGGCCGAGCTTCTCACTGATATTGGCTCCCTCTTCATTGTCGGACCCGAGGCGCTAAGGGAGAAGTCTCGCACGCTCGCGGCGGGCCCCTCTGGCCAGGGCAAGAAGCTTACCAAGGCCGACTTCAAGGCATTTGTGCAACGTCGCGACGATGCTAGTAGCGTTGGCATCCAAAGTGTATTGGCTGGGCTTTGAGAAATAGGGGGTTTAGTGGTCAAGGTTTGGGAAAAGGGGCATTGCCGGGGTAGTTGGGGAGATTGACGCATGTGCTGTCTTATTAATGATCGAATATGATACCAGGTTTCAATGTGCACAAGCCCTGCTGAACGATCTTGACTTGTTGTCACCGACCGCCGGTCCGAGGTCACGTACCTACAGACTCGGGAACGCGAGCGCAAGAATCGCCGACTATGGAAAAGGCAGCGAGATCTCGCAAGCGCGCGCGCCATGACAACCTGCCCGATCTTACGGAGATACCCGTTAGTCAAGCTAAGGAATTGACAAATAATTCTCCGTTGTTAGCTTGGGGCCAGGAAGAGTCTAAGAGCACCTTTAGTCGAGCTAAGTGCTCACAAGTTTGGATTTAGGCAGGTGCTTTTTTTTTAAAAGAAAAAAAAAAATCTTCCTGTTCGTTCACTGACCAATATGCTGCCATTAGGCCGGCAGTCTAGCGTCGTCTCGAGACTTGGACGGCGTCGTCGCACTTGCGACTTTTAAGCTTTGCGCGCCCACACGGACAGGAGTCTACGGCCGTAAGCGCCAACGGTGTGGCGCCGTTTTTTTGGGCCGTTTGGTTTCACAACGGTTTTTTTGATGATGTTATATCGTCGAACATGTGGTGTCTGTTTGTTGCCGTCGATTAGGGGTGGTGATGGTTTCTCTGAGGATATCGCAGGGGGGAGAGTTTGGGGTTTGTACTGCATTTGAGGAAATTTGTATTCCAAAGCCGGAAGAGGCATTGTCTGCCTTGCATTCGCTATGAGAACCAGGGATAGTTCACAAAAGCCAGTCGCCATCAGGGACCATGCAATACAATCGGGGGTTTTGTGCATAGTACTGGTGGTCGTTTGTGGGGGGCTCGTAAGGCTTCCCCCCGGGCCGAGGCTAGGTGGTTAATATCCCGGGCCAGAGTACGTTTCAGGGGAAGAAGGGGATCTTTGAACTCTGACAACGTCAAGTAGACGCTCACTGAACTATGTTCAGTTGTCTCAA